GTACACATAATTCCAAAGAATAGAGATAGACCAACCTTAAAAACCTGAGGTAAAAGAAGCAAGCATTCTTTCAGACATTTCTGGAGGAAGAAGTCATGGAATTGGATTACCTGCAAGCATCACCTAATTGTGAAATAATAATGTACTAAATAGCATATTAAAGTTTCACAACTTCCATGTATTTTATTTGAGTAAAAATGTTCAAAACCTCATCTACACTCTTCACAGTTTGAAGTCTGTCATGCATCAAATGCCAATTTGGTTCAAGGACCTGAAAGAGTATACATCATTAGGGAATGAATTCCAACAAAGCCAGACTGTACATCAGAGGAAGATGGATTTTACCTCGAAAGTTAAATAATGCAAAAGGCTATTGATAAATTTAATCATGCTTCGACAAAGAATAGAAGATCTGAGGATGGCCGTTCCAAGAATGTTGATGGCACGAAACCCCTGAATGATAATTACTGGTTTATCCAATGAAGTGGATAAGAATGATTCAGACAAATCATCAAGAAGAAAGAGAAGCAATCATACTTGATGTACTTGCCAGGCCATGCAAAGTTGACGGTTTACGTGTTTGCAGTGGAACAGGAGACGGAAAATCAACTGGTATTTTGTTAGAGCTTTTCTTGGAATAATTAGTGATAATGGCCATTGAACCTGAAATAACCAACATGATAAATTTTGTCTCCAAGAGGAGCTGCTAAATAAAAGAACTCAACTGAGAAAAAGTGAACAGAACCTTGTAACTAAGGCAGAATGTCTCCAAGCCAGTGATACTGAACAGCTCAGACTGAGGATCAGAATCAGGAAGTATATTACCTTCTGAAGGTTCAGTGGAATCCAAATCTTTAAGTGTGCTTAGTCTTTTGAGCAATGAAACTCTTTCCTGGTTGGTGAAAAAATTTGGAACTCATAAATAATAATGCTCCCCAAAATCAGCAAATGCATGCCATAATATAAGCTTCATAAATTACCACACAACATGTCAACTCCTCGTGACATGGATCTGAAGCAGCAGCTGTTGAACGCAAAGCAAGATCAAGAAGTGACTGTTAATCACGTGACAGAGAAACCGTATTAGAAATCTGATAGTGATTTTCACTGGTACATAAAAAGTACAGGTTCCAAATCACTAATAAATAACACGAAAGAACACCTGCAGCTTCTCAACAGAAATTTCCTCAGGTCTTTTAGCAAGCTCATCTCGAGAAATATCCATAAAATGAACCAAATAATCACCCTATGAGATCGTGAGGAATGTTAGTAAATTTACAAAAACAGTAATTACCTCAAGAAAGAATGCACAACATGGAAACAAATAACAAGAGCACGAAGCATATAACACACTATTATATAAAACCAGCAATTTTTCTGCCATGTGGTGAATTCCTCCTGAAATGCCCTCATATATATGTTCAAAATTCCTAAAATTTATCTAAAATGAGTAAACTCTAATAAGAATCCACTGTAATTTCCTGTTTCACAATAGTAGCTTCTGAAGAAACTCTCTTGTATTAATATCCCTTCAAAAAAAGCCCTTCTCGTTCCTCCTCTATGCCATAGACTGCTCATTGTTCTTAGAGAATATCCAAAAATAAGTCCCCAGTTACCATCCAACTCATCAATCAAACACAATGCCAAATAAAAGTCTGGATATAAAACTCCTATAAAACAACAAAATTGAACACATACAATTTACAGTTTCCAATTGGCTTAGTTTAGTCATATTTTAAGAACTGTCAATGCATGTTTTTCTTGTAAATGTTTTGCAACAGAAATGGACAACACTAAATCTAATTGAAGTTGCTCATCATGTACTTTCTAAGTAAACAAGCACTAAATTTAAATGACCTCTCCATACAGATGCATGACTTAAGTCTCCAAAATAACATTCAAAGTCAACCAGAACTAGGTTTGTTTATTCTAAAATAATATGCATCATGTTAACCATAATACTTGTAGATGAAATGTCAACCTGGACTCTCAAAGATAGTCCAAACCTTCATGCAATTTTAATTAGCCTTTAGTAAATAAGTTCAGAGAAAAGCTATCAATATAGAACAACATAGTATTCTCAAGAGACTCTATATCTACAGAACAATGTTAAAATACAACAAAGTTTAATTTAGAAGTATATATAGAGTATAAATTCAGTACCAAGAGACACCAGTTTGTGTACAGTACAATGAATACTTATTCGATATGTGAATTCAACATCAAGTGCATATGCACTTACATTGTAGATGTTCATATTAAAATGATAACAGATGTATCTTAGGTTTAACGGACATTCTACACCATGACTTCTTTGTCAACGATATTAAAGATATTATAAAATAACAACAGTATACTTGCAGCATGACTGATCAGATATCAGAGAAGAAAAATCCATTCAGTGTTAAATTTGTGGAGACTGGAGATCATGAACATACTCAATGAAGAATATCCACCAAAATAATAACAGATGAACTTAGGTTTAATGGTTGTTCTACACCATGAGTTCTTTTTCAAGGATATTGAAGATTTTATAGAATAACAACAGTATACTTGGACTGATCAGATGTCAGAGAAGAAAAATCCATTCAGCATTAAATTGCAGAGATCATGAACAAACTCAAATAAGAATATCCACCAAACAAATTATCTCATAGAAAGCTTGTAGCAGAAACTGGCTCAAATATAAACATGACATGTGAAGAGGAAAATTAGTTTACACTGAGTTATTCAAAACTAGGTAAACACTTAAACTGATGTTGCTAGGTACATGGGCCATCAAATATGCCCTACCAGCAATTGAAGTAAATACTATTATGAGTTACCTGGTCAAGAAGAAAGTAGCGCTTCATAGACCGCAGTTTTCCGATGAGGTCATACTGCAGAAAATAACGGTTATTGATAATTGAACACACACTAACAACAGATAATCCAAAAGAAGTCACAGAAACCATGATTTAACAATTTTACCTTATGTTTGATAAGATTCAAGAGCTCACCACTTGCAAAATCGTAAGCAGATTTGATGCATTCAAGATAATGATGGTTTGACTCAATGCTTGTCAACTTTGAATTTTCTGATAAAGGTACCTAATCATGAGAAATTCTTTGCTTTCTTAAAACTCACTTGAAAGGAAATATGCTCTGGAGAATCATCCTTTAACTCTCTCTCCATTTGGAAAAGTGAAATCCTAATCTCTTTCCAGAAGAGCTTCATCATAAGAATTTACCTGAACATTATGCCCACATTCCCTCATGACATTCAAGTATTTTCCTGTTGTCAAGATTATCCCTGCAACACTGACAAGGAAACTGGGAATACCATCTTTGAGGCTATAACGCTGTACCCAATACTTGGTATCATAATCCTGAGTAAGACTTTCCTAAAGAAATACAAACAAAGATCCTTTAGAGAAGAACACTAAAAGAAAGGTTGCATCAGTGTGCTTATATAAAGTACCTTCTGCAATGATTTGTTTTCAGCAATAAAAAATTCACCATAAGGGTCATCAATAACACCCTCATATACCCACCTACAGTTATACAATAATAAGCAAAAAGATAGGAGAGAATTTTTCAGCACAATGTGCCAATCGTTGTAGTTATAAAAGAATAATTTGACAAAAAAATTGCAGCAAAGAAAAAGAATCCACTACAAATCAAGAATCATAATGTTCATAAATGAAAATTTGAGAGAAAACACCTCTCTAATATTGCCAGGTATGCAGAACTTGCACGTTGTGTCATCTTCTCAAGCAATGATCGAACTGCATTATCACCTGCCATTGCTTTGGCCTGAAAAATATACAAAAAGAAAAAATAAAAAGAGTGACAATTACAGGATAAAACATGTTCAAAACTGGAGCATATGCACAGAACCCAATAGTAAAGGGCACCACATAGTCTTCTAAGAAGGAGCACAAAAGTTTAAATGTACACGATTATAGTATAATAAAAAATCCACCTATATAACTATTATAGAAATAAAAAAAAAAGAACTGGTAAAAGTGATGTTATAAATGACTTTAGCCACTCAAGTATTGGAGACTGTGATGTCAAAGTGTTGAGGAACATCAAAGAATGACAACACAGAGAGGCAAACATAAACACAGTAAAATTTGGAAACCAAGGTAGTATATAAGATGTTTTACCTGACTCTGCAAAAGGTTAAGCGTAGTAGCACCTGAGAAATTGTTGGAAGAAGCCTTCTCAACCACAATTGACAAAGCATGCAAGGATCCCATCATAGGCTGCAGAATACAGTTATTAAGGTTTAAAACAATCTATTGATAAGCAGCCAAAATTAAGTTTAAGATGTTGGCGACTAAAAAAGAGAAGGAAAGATCAAAACCTGGCAAAAGAACCATAATCCTTGAACTGAGAGCCTTCCAAGGAGAAACTGATGTTCCAGTTGTGCAACCATTGCCTGGTAATCCTGGTATAATTTGAAGAAAAAAAAAAGATAGATGTCGGAAATCTGAATAAGCAATCACCAAGTTCCACAACATAATATCTTTGCCATGGGAGCTGGCAATAGTTCTGATTAGGATCCAGAAAAGTGTCAAATGATACTATCATAATAAAAACCTATAGAGCATATATGACACATTATTGTAAGAACTAGAATATAGTCTAGGTCCGTTTCCATGTCAAATACCAACTACAACTATCCAACAGCAGGTCTATTGCTAAAAATTTTGTTACTACTGCAACTGCCTTGGTATCTGGTGATGTTCTATTTTTCTGTGGATTAAGTAAACAAGAAAAAATAATGGCTGCTAGGGCACCTGAGTGATGAGATACCATCAATTTCGCCACAGTCCTAATACAACAACAACAACAAAAAATAAGGTCCCAACTATTTGGAATTGACTACATAATTTTTTACCGCCAATAAGCTTTAATTTTACTAAAAGTATTTAACTCTTTATTTATAATTTCTAATAAGATTTTCCTAAGTCTTTCTCTACCTCTCTCTCATGCTACTAAGAGTAATTGTTTCATCTCTTCTAAGTATAATATCTATAGTTCTTAACACATATATGCACCATCTTAAACGATGAAGAACAAATCCAACAACATAACTGTGACCCATATATACACCACCACAAACCCCAGACCTACTAATAGATTAAAAACGAACCCAACAACATAACTGTGAACCATGTATACAATCAGAATTTGCTTTCATATCCTCTCCTTTTATCTCCGCATTTGAATGCCCCAGCAAAAAGACCTTGAAAGAAATGTTGGTTTGTAAACTTTTTTCTTTTTTTTTTTGTCTTACAAAGCTAAAAGGCAGAAGTATATCCAATTAGTGCACATGATGGAGAATCAATAATGGATGGATGGACTGATGGATGAATAGGTCGACCAAGTTAAGGAACTTCAGCAGTGCCTTTAAGTACAGATTCATTGTTCCAAGATAATTCACTGACTATGTGAAAATAGACAGAAGAAATAACTAATTCACAGTATCCAACAAAACGAGCCTGCACATGAGTAACAAGTTTGATAGCATGTGAGAGTGTGAGAGTGAAGTTTTTCTATACCAGAAGTAGTGCTCTTAATGCAGCAGCAAATGCATGGTTAACCAAACCACTTTTGAAATGTGACTTGGACTCCACAAAGTGATTGATCAACACATAGTTCTGACACAGAGGGAAAATCCTCTCTGTCAATTCCTGCACTAAGAGAAGTTAATCAGCCCCATGAAAGCTGATCGAACTGCTTATACATAGAAAAATTTAGTGACTGACCTGCAGTGCGAGGTCCATGGACGGATCTATATGAAAGATAACATGGCCTGCCTTACCCCTCACTCTTTTAATTGAAATGTAGCGCCCCTCGATGCCCACTAGAGCGGACAGAAGGTCATCAATGACCAAAAGCTCCTACACATCCAAAACAACAACACGGTTCGTCATTCCTCCCACAGTAAATGTTAACCACCTCAACATGTTCAACTTTACCTGAACCGAAACTGGGTATGATCCAATGACATTATCTGAACCACGACTGCAAAGAGATGTATCAAAGTTTTCAATGTATCTAAAAAAACTCCATAATGCAGTCGATTACGTCCAAAAAGGAAATTTAAAGAGACTTATTTCACTACTAAAGTTAGCGGCCAGTAAGCCGATCGAACACGGAGGCGGACCGCCGTACCTGAAGGACTCCATAGAGAAGAGTCTCGATCCCGCGGCCTGCGCTGGGGCTTTGATTTCCTGAAATGTTTGCAGAAATAAGGGAAAGAAGCAGGGATCTGGCGGCAGAGGCCGACTGAGAAAGAGGGAAATGTTAGAGAGCACGGAACCTGATGGAACCGGCCGGTGAGGAAGGGGCGGTCCAGGTTCCATCGAGGGGTACCGGGGGTCGGGTCCATGGCGGTGGGACGAAGCTCCTCAGATCGAAACCCTAAACCTCAACCCCGATCGTGGCGAGCGAGAGAGATCCAAAGAAAAGGGCGGGTTTCCTCTCGAGCTTATTTTTCCCATCAAAAGAAAATTAAAAAAGAAGCGATAAACTTCCATATATATCCCTCAAATGGAGCAATATTTATTTTTTTGCCCTTCTAAATTGAAATTTAAACTAACATTAATGCCTTTTAAAAAATATTCAAAAAAATATTTTTATTTATTTATTTTATTTTGTCTATCTATAATGATAATTATGATTAGTAGTTAACATGAACTTTAAAGAGGTTTGATTTATATAATTCAAAGACATATATTACTAATCACAAAGGTCGACAGTCATCTACTGCTTAACCTCCCACTTCACAGATTGGGATTCACGATGGGTCCCGCTGTAATCGAACAATGTAAACATGCCACCTGGCCGGGACCCTTGAGCGTTGTCGCCTCTCTTACATCGGGAAGTTTTCCCCGGATCTTGAGTCCCGCCATTTTATACAACCATGGCGGTAATATCGGAGCAGAGCAGCCGTGGCTCAGTGGCAAAGAAGCGAACCGCCCCGCTCTCTGGGTGGAGTGTACTGCACTCCCCCTCCATCGTTGCCACGGGCTGTGGTTCTCACTAGGCTTCCTTGTTCCTCTCTTTATTGCCTTGTCTTCCCCTCCGTTCTCCTTCAAATGCGACGCTTTTAGCGAGCATAGCATGGCCGAATGCGACCGATCCGCCGCCGGCAGATTCCGCCCCTGGCCGCCCTTCTCTGCCGCGACGCTCCGCCGCAAGCTCCTCGACGCCGTGGCCTGCGGCGCCTCCGGCCACCGCCGCCGCCGGAAGGAAGACCTCTGCTCGCTTGCTTCCCGCCCGACTACGAGGCGGCTGGAGGAGCTGATGAGGGCCGAGGAGCCGGAAAGTTGCTCCGACCGGGGGGCGGAGGCGGAAACGAGGCGAAAGATCGGAGCTTTCGAGGAGCTCCAGCGCGCGGCGGGGTTGCTTCAGCTTGGTGACGGCGACGGGGAGCTGGACCGGCGGAAAGAAGCGGCGGCCGAGGTCAGGAGGCTCGCTAAGGACGACCCGGGGGCGAGGAAGACGTTCGCCACGCTTGGGGCGATCCCTCCTTTGGTCGCCATGCTCGATTCGAAGGATTCCGAGCTCCATCTCGCCGCGCTCTACGCGCTCCTCAACCTTGGGATCGGCAACGACTTGTAAACCCTCTCTCTGTCTCCTCTCTCTCATCCAAAGCTGGCTTTCATTTCGTTCTGCCTCTTAGGTTCTCTGTTGCTGTTGTGGGTGGTGGTGGATTCGGTTGCAGGAACAAAGCGGCTGCAGTGAAGGCCGGCGCCGTCCACAAGATGCTGAATCTGATCGAATCGGGGAGTTCCCCATCGGTTTCGGAAGCCATCGTGGCCAATTTCCTCAGCCTCAGCGCTTTGGATTCCAACAAGCCCGTCGTCGGAGCCTCGGGCGCGATCCCCTTCCTGATGTCCGCCTTCAAAAGTGGTAACTCCACGGCGAGGCAGGACGCTTTGCGCGCACTCTTCAACCTGTCCATCGCTTCCTCCAACGCACCCCGCCTCGTCGACGCCGGCCTCGTCCCCGCGCTTTTCGCGTCCATCGGCGACATGGAGGTGAGCGAGCGGGCGCTCACGGCGCTCTCCAACCTCGTCGCAACCGGCGACGGGCGGCGGGCGGTGAGCCGGTGCACCGACGCCGTCCCGACCCTCGTCGACGTCCTTGGGTGGTGCGACGCCGCCGGATGCCAGGAGAAGGCGGCCCACGTGCTGATGGTAATGGCGCACAAGGGTGGGCCATGCGACCGGGCAGCCATGGTCGAGGCCGGCGCCGTGTCGGCGCTCCTCGAGCTCACACTCCTGGGCTCTCCCCTCGCCCAGAAGCGAGCTTCCCGCGTCTTGGAGGTCCTGACAGTGGACAAGGGGAAAAAGGTCACCTCAGCAGCCGCTTCCAGCGCTGTGGCGGTGTCGGCGCCTCTCTCCGTGGCCACGGCGGCGGAAGGGAAGGGGGACGACAGGATGAGCGAGGAAAGGAGAGCGGTGAGGGAATTGGTCCAGCAGAGTCTCCATAGCAACATGAGGAGGATCACCCGGCGGGCGAATCTGCCGCAAGACTTTGGGCTGTCGGAAAGGTTCACGGCGCTAACCACCACCTCGGCGACCAAAAGCTTGCCTTTCTAGGAGAAGAAGAAAGCCCTGTACATGAGGATCACAAAGGCGATGATGAAGGCTTTTTCCTCTGCTTCTCTCTCGTCTTCTCTCCTCTGTTCGGCTAAAAACTACATCTTTCCTCTGTTCGCATAAAAACTACATCTTTTTACTTCCTTTCGTCTTTTCCTCTGCTTCTCTCTTGTCTTCTCTCCTCTGTTCGGATAAAAACTACATCTATTTACTTCCGTTCGTCTTTGCTGCAGGTTTTGGTTAGATTATGCTGCACGGTAAACAAGAAAAAAATTCGATTTTGGGATCATTGACTCCATCTGTCTGAGAAAGAACCAGTTCTTGGCCTCTCTGATCTGTTTCCTCTACTGCATGGGTTACACGTAGGTACGACTGAGTTTGACCTTGTCATCACTGCTCCGAAGACCCTCTTCCCATATGCTGTAGACCTTTACACAAACAAACACGGAAGAGAGTCAGAGGGCTCTCCAACAAGAAGCATGAAGCAAACAAACAGCTCTACTTAGCTGAAATTTTAGCTGCTTGTGAAGAATCTTTGGCAGGATAGATTGTTTGTTCACTGCTGAGGAAGATTTTGGCATTTTCCAGTATTTATGACTGTTTTTGTCATGTAGCTAAAGAGTCAAAGTCGGTGTGTTGGAGTGCCTTGTTACCTTCACGGTTCTCAGCATGGCCTCATTAAGAACAGTAGATTTCTGCTTGACGAAAGGTGTGGGAATCTCTGGCATAAATGTGTGCCTTGGTTGGTGTAATGTATGCATGGGAAATGATAAAAGATAAAGCACATCCCTATTATTTATGGTGGTGCTGTACTCCCTTTAGGTCAATGGGGAGCATTCTCTGTTGTTCTGATGCTCTCAGCAAATGGGAATTAAGACCTGAAAAACATGTTAGGAATTAAAATTTGAAGCTTTCAGCAAATGATGTCAGTTTGTAGCAACTTGGCACCATCTCTGATGAAGTTATCTAAATGCATGCATATGCTGTTAGGGCACAGAGAAGGGCAAATAATAGTTAGGAGCTTAGAACAAGCCTCAGGTGTCTTCCACTGGTTGCTGTTCTGTAGAAGTGATCCATGCAAGGATGGAACCAAGGAATTTGACTATACTGTACTTAATTCACTTATCTCTATAATTTTAAATCACATCTCACAAATTTTTAGAACTGAAATATTATTCTATAACGACGAAATCTAGTCCTATAAATTAACATCTGTTAATGTATCAAATTCATTTTAGGTTGAGGATTGGAATTCTCATCTTAAAACATTTTCTAGTGGTGATAAACCTCATCTATGATGTATGGACTTGGGATTAAACTTCATTTTCATTACTCTTTAGAAAGAAAAATATAAAAATGATGGAGAAAATGATGCTAGATTAATCATAAACAAAATCCAGTAGCAAATGGGGGAAGTTGGAAGGACAATCATGCCAAGCCAGCTCAGGATTGGATTTCTTGGTTTGGGGGGAATAATGGACAGGGTGTAGGAGTGATGGAGAAAGGGATAGGTTTCTAAAAGGTGCCTCAGGTATAAACCTCACAGACACCCATCATTTTCACACATTAAGAACAGTATGTGAGGATGTTGGTCCTCTTAATCAATATGTTTGAGACATTTGATCTACCAAATACCTACCACATACATGAAATGCTAACTCTTTGGTCTTTACTTGAGTCACCAATAGATCAGAGTTCTTCAGCAGCCTACATGCATATGTTTACAGAATTACAATCACAGAAGATGATGACTTTTGTGGTAATCTTTTCTTGCCATTTGGATTGTTGCTATAATCTTACATAATTTGAATGAGAAACTCATTCATCAATATATGAAAAAGTTTAAACCTTTTCTAATTAGACATGCAGGTGGGGAAGCTGAGTTTGCATAGAACAAGAAACTTAGATGAATCCTCTAATCTTAAGCTCAGTGCCATATGACTAGCACATGACATCTAAGTCATCCTCGTTGACGAACATAAAAAAAAGATTCAAATCAGAAAAATATAAGCTTCCTTCTCATTTATTATGGCAAGGAATATAATCATAAATCTTTTCTTATTCATTCTCTGTTCTCATCTGACAAGAAGGATAATTACAAGTTTCCTTCTCATCCTTTATGATAAAGAAGTAATCATAAGCTTCCTTGTTATCTATTACGATGAGACTAATGCATAAACTCCCTTCTCATTCTCAAATATATAAAAATATATCTTAAGCCTAATGCATGGGACTCATTTTGAACTACTCGAACCCACATTTGGAGACCTTAGATTACTAGCTTGATTAACCCCTATAGACGTAGGTCTTTTATGTAGGTGGCACATCGAGAGCACGATATTTTTACCTCGGGAGTATGATATTTTTACCGTGGAGACATCTCAGATATTCCTGCGCACAAGGACTTGGACCACATTAGGCTGACTAAGACATTAATAACATTTTTCCCTAACATTTTAGCGCTAGAATGAGGGCCTGATGTCATAAAAATGTTCGTTTACCATTCCTCTCAATGAACGCTCCAACAATGAGGTTGCACCTTCGACCCACAACACTTTTACTCATGGGGCAACTATTATCCTTCTCATATGTGGACGCGTCTACCTTGGCATAGACGTTGATTGGGCACTAGCGTCTGTTCAATGACTTAGGTCCCTCACCCCTAAGGATGAACTCGACCACCTACCCGTTCTTGTCGAGGTGTTCCTGAACCTCGTCCATTACCTTGCAACATGTTCACGAGCATGTTGCAAGGTATTACCCTGCTCTTACCTCAACTAGCTCAACAAGTGATGCATCATCACTAGCAGTGACACCCATTAGAATCCCCTCGACCAATGTGATGCCAAAATCTCAGGATCGCTCGATGTCCGTCAGACTGCCAGTTGAA